ATGATAATAAATAATATTATTATATAATGTATAGTTAAAATTAATAAATAATTAATATTTATTAATATTAGGGATATTTAAATTTTATTAATATTTATTTATAATTAATATTAATAAATGTTATAATTGGAAAAAATAACAATAAGATGCCAAAACATTACTTCAAGTAGCGTTTCAATAAGTTAAATTATATACATTCAGACATGTATACATACCCAGAAATAAACTATCTTATTTTTGCCAAAGAGCGACTTAATCGGTAACCAAATATTTATATTAAATATTACATTTAATAAAACTAGTTTTTTTATAGGAAAAAAGAAATTAACATTTAAAGAAGCATATAATTAATGAAATAATTTGAATATAATAATTACAATTTTTATATAATGAAAAATAGAAATAAATATTATAATTAATGGAGGATACTTGAACTTGAAGTATTTGGTTGGTGAACCAATAATACTCCAACTACACCTACGTTAGGTTCATTAAACTACTTTGTGTGTGCCACTATGCCTCATCAATATATACATATATAATATATACATATTATGACTGTATATAAAATAAAATTCGTTGTATAGGGTTGGGTTCATGTGAGACAAGACTGTTTTCGTGAGACACGATTTCTATATCTGAAACTTCATAACATTTTGTTGTGAGGTTAAAAAAAGCTGACTCTTCATGGTGTTTTGTTGTGAAGTTTCAAGTATAAACATCATGTCTTACGAAAACAGTATTGTCTCACATGATCCCAAGTCTCGTTGTATATATTTGATTAAAGTCCTTGTGGTTTATACGGATCTTCGAAAATGCTCCCTACATTTCAATAACAATAATTATCGTCTTTATTGTTTACATTTTGTTTTGAAAATTGTTCCTCGACTTAACTCTGTTAAATTTTTTCCGTTGAATTAGGGGTATTTTCACGGATCGACATGAGAGTCCCACTACATTGTGCTGCCAGAATCCATGGTGTATATTTGAAAGAGATTGACCTCCTTGCTTCTCTCACGGTACAATCCTCTTCCCGCTGAGCCCCCTGCAAGACAAACCCGTTCGGTGCTGAGTTGGTCCCGAGGGACGGAGGAGGCTAGGTTAGCCGAAAGATGGTTATTGGTTCAAAGACGTAGGGTAACCCTGCTTTTTCAGCTTAAGAAAGGGTAGAGAAAATGCACATTGTTTTAAGAAATTAATATTAGAGTAAACTCCAAGGACCAAAGTTGTAATTTACTCATATTATATACATATACATACGTACATAAATATACATATAGGGGAAAGTTCAAACGAAAACATGAACTATTTATGTAAACAAGAAAATGTCGTTAATGTACAAAATCATGTATGATTCACGTAACAAATCATACATGATCTGGGCGACTTTGCCTTGCGACTTAAGTCGCCTGAAAAGTTGTCACTTTCATTTAATGTAAACTCACATGTGATTTTGTACATTCACAATTTTTTTCTTGTTTTCTTAAGTAGTTAGTTTTTCATTTGAACATTCATCTGTACATACATAATATATATATATATATATATATATAGAGAGAGAGAGAGAGAGAGAGAGATCTTTTTTAACTAAGAATATGGTATTATTTTTATGTGTAAGTTACTTTTATTGTACTTAATGAGATGTTACAATTTTTTATTTGTAAGTTACTTTTATGGAAATTAATGATATTCATTGGTTTTCATAAGAATTTGTTTATAACAGTAAGGTATTCATAAGAATGTGCTCATAAGAATGTGTTTATAACTATAAGGCGTTGACAAGAGTTTTTTACACACCCGTAGACTTGGTAATTATGAGCAAAATCAAGTATACAGTTAGTCCCTATATCATCTTTCAAGTAATAAAATGGTACAAGTATTAAGTATCGTCCATATGGATTGCAGTAAAAGTTCAATAAAAGTAATTTGAATGAAATGATTTCAGATTATGATTTTGAAGACTTTGATTGGTGTGAATTATAACTTGGTGAAATTAACAGATAATAAAAGAAAGTCCGGGTGTAAGACTTAGGGTGAAATGTAAATCAATTTCTAGTAGATCAATGTTGTCAAAATGTTACAACATGCAATTAATAACAACTATTTTCATCCTTTATTTTGAGGGTATTCTATCAGATTTCACCATTGCACTGATATTATAACTTTCAACTCATATCTCTATGTGGTATCCAAACTAGTGAAAGTGACAAATGGTGTTCTCAAAATATACAGATAAACAAATCTTTTTTTGTTAAAAATCACTATTTCGAGCGGATTCCTATAGCATTCAAGTTGACGTGTTCTAAATAGCTTATCTCTGAGTCCATTCCACTTTAACACTTCAAAGTGATCAATCTGTCGAGAATTAACCAATTTAGAAAATACATATAACAAATCTCTTTGTCAGTAACTCTCTTAAGTCTACTTCCTATATCATTCAAACTGACATGCAATCAAAGGCTCAACTTAGAATCCACGACACTTTTTAACACTTTACAATGATCAATTCGTCGAAAAGTGTCATTGGTTTTATAAAACTTAAAATAAAATAATGAAACATTGTTGTTACATAAAAGGATCTACAAACAAAATATCGGGTTTGCACTCCACCCAAATAGTTCATTTTTTTGTTTGACAATCGGATATCAAACCCAACTATATTCGCATACTTCCTGTACATAATTTCTACAGACTCAACCGAGTCAAAAAAAAAAACACCAACCTTTGGAGAACTATTGGGATCCATAGGAAATCATAACTTCGACCCCCAGGTGACTCTCCCATGTCTTACGATAATGCATCTACTAATGAAACGAAATCAGATTTCATCTTGTCATCTAATTTAATAAAGAACGAAAACATACCATAAAATAATGACTGCAAAACATAATGTAATTTGTACATGAAATAGAGTACTTCGAACTTCAAGTTTGAAATTAATGAATAAAAAATAACGACACTTACACCAAACAAGTTTTATGGAACTATGAGAATCTAGATGAAAAAACCGTGTGAAACTTAGTTCAAAAAATGGTTGCTAAAAATTAGAAATACAAACTCAATCATAACACGTGAAATATTAAACACACGAGTGCATTATCAGTTGCATGTTCATCGTTACTTAACGAAAAAAGCTATAAGACAACTAATCACAACATTTAATACGAACAACAGTCAATGTAAAATCTTAGCCACATATTTATATTGAAAAAAAAAATATCAACATAATCTTAACTATAAAAAAGAATTAACATCAGATTTATCTCCGTCTGATCGAACATTATTGGATTTGACAAGCATTTCATTGGAACGAACACTACTACCCGTATCACCCATTATTGTAGAGGACGGTAATTTCTCAAGACGAAACAATATTATCTTACACAACCTATAACTATCTCGATCCAAATTATTTGTATAAATTGGTAAAAGAGGGAACAAAATCATGAATAATAACAATAACGGAACAAAATCAGAGCTTTAAAATCTATATATATGATTTTATTATTAAAATGGTTTTAACTAAAAATGTTAAGAAAATCTGGGAAATCGATATATTCAACAAAAATTTGTTTTATTTTATGAGTAAATATTATAACTAAATAAATTTTACATTAAAAATAGAAATTACGTAGAAATTATAAAATGAGGGATATTTTAATAAATGATGAAACATAAAAATATTATTTGATCAACAATGATGAATGAAACATTTTGAAAACTGAATAATATGATTTCATTAGTGAAATTGGTTTCAGGTTCTTAACTAAAATGAAATTGGTTTTGTTAATGAAACTAAATATGATTCAGTCAATGAAACATTTTGAAAACTGAATAATATGATTTCATTAATGAAATTAGTTTCATGGTTCCTAAATGAAGTTAATGAAATCAGTTTCTCAGATGGACACTAGGTGGTACATCGACTTTCGTTTTTGCGTGGTTTGATTTGGTTTCAGATTTGAGTTTTATGTTTGATTTGATTAGGTCCTTGATATGGGCATGAAAACATCTGGAATGGTCACCGGAGGAGTTTCAGGCGTAAAGTTGGTCACCTGGAAATCTAACGAGGGTGGGGCTATACAGGGTTGATTTAGGTTTCATTTAAGTTTCAGAATTGGAAATTGTTTGAATTTTGGAACTCTGTTTGCAAAAGGTTGTCGAACTTCGGAGAAGGGAAACAGAAGGTGGTTGGAACTAGGGTTGCAATATTGGGTTGCTTTAAAAATTCTTTTATAAAAATAGAAAAAGATAATTAAAATACTAAAATGCACCTTACTTAACGAACTAATTTAACGGAGTTAGTGACCGGGTACGATTTTCAAAGCAAAATGTATGCAGTAAGGACGATAACTATAGTTATTGAAGTCTAGGGACCACTTTCGCAGATTCATGTAAACCACAAGGACCAAAATGGTAGTTTACTCAATAAATATAAATAATATCAAGAGTAAATTAATTTTTTTGTCATTGTAGTTGTCAGTCATTATCATGTGTAATTCACGTATGAACTAATCAATTAATTCACGTATGAACCCGTGTGATTTACATATAAACTAATTAACTGATTCACATATGTATTAACTAACTGATTCATATATGAATCAGTTAAATAGTTCACATATGAACTAATTAACGGGTTCACACATAAATATGTCGTTCATATGCATATCACATCACATGGGTACATATATGAATCCGTTTGCCGCATATTTGTAAAAGTTATGAAACTACTTCTCTATCTTGTGCATACCTATATAAGTTACTATCTGGCACTTCATGATCAAACTAGTTGTATACCCGCGCAATGCGACGGGATGTCAAAATTTATTAAAATTTATTCAATTTCGAATGACAAAAGGAACACTAATGGTCCATTTGGTTTGGTGGAATGTTTTTGAGAGTATCAAAAATGGATGCAGCAGCCAAATTCTGTTGTAAAGTGTTTCTGAGGCGGCCAGCAACTCGCCGTATTTAGTCTGTGATGCAGCATCTGTAACTTCCTTTGCCATGCCTATTCGAGCATAAGCCCGTTTTATGCAAATACGTATTTTTCATTAATATAGATATGGTTTTAGCATCAACTCTATGAAATGCAGCTATTTGAGATATGAAATACCTCTGCTCATTCAACTGCATTTAAAAATTTATCACGCAATTGCAAATGTAAAAGATAATTTTAGTTACAACGCAACTATTTCTAACATCACCATAGAACAAATATAATCTTCATTTTCTTTCCTACCTCAATCCGAATACACGACCTTTATAGAAGACCAATGTCTTTCTCATTCCATCCAAATCTTGCTTAGAGTAAATAGCTTTATCCCTTCCAGTTGCCTTTTAAAATCCAGCTGCGATAGCTCTATTTGTACAAGAACCTGTTAGATACTTCTTTAAGTTCACTAATTAGCATATTTCAAGCATATACAAATGATGTGTAAACATAAACACATAAAGATCCTACTTCCAAGTAGARCACAAGRGGTGTCTGGGGCCGTTTACCTAAATGCTTACCCGGTAAGTGCTTACCGTTAAGAGTCAACACRATAATTTATTTTATCGGGCAAGATTRTAATACATCAAAATGTATCTTATGCAACAATTTACCTGGTAAACGTTTATCCGGGTAAGGGTCGTCACYCTCACTTACYGGGTAAGACTCCATTCTTRTCATCGCTCTTACCGGGTATGATTCTTGCCCCTTGCYATGTTCATCCGGTACGGAAAATTGCCCAGTAAGTACTTACYGSGTAAGCTTTTAATAAAYGGCCCATTACATTTGGTTCCTAAAAAAGGTGTAAAAGGCCAACAAAAGATAGCTTAAGGAAATAAAAGAAAATGAGCTAGAAGAACAGATGGGCAAGACTCTTACCAAGTCCCATGGACGGGGCCTTCAACCTGGTCCTTGTAACCGGTCCCAGAAAAAACCCTGTATAGGTCCCTTTGGTTTTAACCGGTTGGCTGACCGGTCCCTAACTGATCCAGTTCAGTCCTTTCATAACCAGTTATGAAGTCGAGCCAGATTTGGTTAAGTTGGAATGGTCCGGAGCAGTTATGTTTACCCATCTTCACTCTAGTGGGTTTTTACACATAATTTTTATGCACAAACAATAACTCGGTTAATACGAGTCCATATTTCTGTTTCAATTCAGAATCCAATTGTGGTTTAGAGGTCATATCTATTTTCTCCTCACATTTAGAATATAAGGGGTCGATGTGAAATATGTAACTATATCTGCAATAAAGCAACTTATAGATATGAAATCTGCATATTTAGTTATATCTTCGTYCTACCGAACAAATTTACAATCTAACAGAAACCCGCAGAAATGGAAAACACAGAAGTTGCCAAATAGCGTTCTTTAAGAAACTTACAAACAATAAGGACTCAGAACCTGTTCTCACTTGCTTAGCGATGACTCGGCTTCCATTTCATCATATTCCTGAGCTTCAGTAATTTCATCACCTAAAGATTTTGCACCAGATTTCTCTACTTCTTCCAGCCCATGAACTTTTGATACTAAATCCAAATGAACTGCAACACCCGCTGGTTGCAGCTTGCTCTTTTTGTTAGCCATCCATTTTGAAAGCTGCCATCAGAACGAATAGGTGGCAAAATTCAGGACATATTTGAAGTTCAAAAGTCTACATACTTGTACAATTGAAAACGCATCTATATGAAAACTGGGTCGAGCAACTCAGGAGATCCTTCACGTTCAAATAAGAAGGTTAAATATCGTGAGAAGTCAAGGGAAGATTCATATGTCAATCATTGAAAATATCTACTTGAAGATGCATATATGAACTGACATTACAGATTATTCAAATGGATGTTTTCAATGATTCACATACGAACCTCCCTTAACCTTTCATTCTTACCTGCTCACTATATTTGGCATTCTTATTTGAACATCYCACCGTATATATAGAAAGCTCTAATACAATTGAATTGCRATAGTGGTTTAGGGTTTAGAGTCGAGGAGAGCGTGCGAGGAGAGACTCTAGATGAACTGCTTGTAACGACTAATCTGCAATGAACTGCTTGTAACGACTAATCTGCAATGAACTGCTTGTAACGACTAATCTGCAATGAACTGCTTGTAACGACTAATCTGCAATGAACTGATTGTAACGACTAATCTGCAATGAACTGCTGCCGCCAATCTGACCAGCATTTATGACTTCACTTATGCCACTGCTTGAGGTGGAAGAGACGTTTACAAATGAAGAACCTAAGAACATGATTTTACCCACAACCARAATATGTTGTGAAACAACATTATTTTTGTTTGGGAGAGTTTTCATAAATGGAAGGAGCATGTCTTCTAATTGGAAGGGGCAAGTTCACAATATAATTGGCTTTCTACATAAAGCTCTCTCCTAAAAGTTTCTTGGATAAGTCACATCTTATATCATTAAGTCACCATCAAACAGTCATATTCAAGTCGATTAGAAAAAAAGATAACTTATTTTAAATCATTTAACATAATGTCATATGATATACCACAGAATTCTGCTGAAGAAGGTAGTCCTGAGGCTTTAAAATCATTAAAGCACCAACAGCAAAGTTCAAGCTTACTGTTGGAAATATGTTGGGCAAGCAAGACAACCTTACAGACTGTGAAACCGACTGTGAAACCAACTGTGTGATATGCAGCAACATAAGTGATACCAACATTTACATAAACAGAAATCATTTGACCATTAGTCATATATCTAAAAGATCTGAAGGTAATGAAAAAAAGAAAGGAATTTTTTGTCTACCAAATTAATGCCATCAGGTTTTTGTAACCAGTATTAAAACACTAAAGAAAATCCCATTAAACTATTGACAAAATAGAAATTTCAGATATAAACAATGTACTCGTTCTCAAAGAAACTCCAACGATTGGCTCATCGAGTAGTTCAATGGAAGTGTTCAAACAATGTACTCGTTCTCAAACTCAACTGGACAGAAACCTCAAAGTCCTATATTTTTATAGGTTTTTTTTTTCTTCAGCAAGTTTTACCCTTTCATCATGATATGTTATAATGAAAACCAGAATCACATAGATGGAATTAGTGAGGGACAGTTTGTTTTTCCCTTAAACAAGGCCCCCCCAAAATAAAGGTTTTTAATTCAAAAGAAAACAATCACTATTGGATACATCTGGCTCTTCCTTTGTAGCCAGAGTATATAGCTAGCATATTGACTTTTTCTGACTTTAGAGAACAGATAAATCTTAAGCATTTGTCGATATGAAATTTGTACCATTCTACCTACACCTGGTGATCCAACAAATATGATTTTTTCAACCAAGGACACCAATGCTTATTCTGTCTCAGCAAGCCTGGCAAAATTCCAAGTTTGAAGTCCTAAGAAATGCAAATTAACAGCAWAATCAAATAGGCTTACCCAGTTATTACTTCAACAGGATTTTCAGGAGCTCCAACAGCTGCAAGGGCTGGTTGAATAATCCACACATAGAAACATCTAGACCAGCTTGGATGTTCAGGACCTGCAAAATSGATCAAATAATTTCACATATAGATTAGTGAATAAACAAACCCAAATGAATAACGGTGCAAACAATCCTAAAATAAACAAACCCAGATCATTTTATTCACTGAATAGATTAGTTATTCAAGCAAACCCAAATAAACAAACCCAAATCAGCAAAACCCTAAACCCTAAAATAAACAAACCCAAATCAGAGAGATGGACGACTGAACGATGGATTGTTACCTGAAATGCTTTCAACAGTGACTTGGGTTGAACGATGCAGTGATGGAGAGCGAGGGTAAAACAGAGAGATGGACGACTGAAATAAACAAACCCAAATCAGAGAGATGGACGACTGAACGATGGATTGTTACCTGAAATGCTTTCAACAGTGACTTGGGTTGAACGATGCGGTCATGGAGAGCGAGGGTAAAACAGAGAGATGGACGACAGAACGATGGAAAGCGGTGAAATCGTCGTCTTGGGGGAGGGGAGCCGGGTAAAGGAAGCGTTTTGGGGTGAATGGGAAGGGACGGTTTGGGGTAAAGTCGATTGAAAAGTAAAGGTATAAGTAAGGGTATTTTGGGTATTTATAATTTTAAGACTTTAAGACTTTGAGTGAATTTGTTTAATAAGATAGTATAGATACGCAAATACTTCTCATATATATATATATACATACATATACATAGATATACATACAGTGAAACAAATCAATTTTCCCAACATAAAATTTCATATACAACATATATACAACATATATTGTTCATATACAAATCAACGTTTCACTACAAAATTACATGGACAATTTTGAAAGAAAATGCATTTTTACACAACCTCCGGGTTTCTACGCATGAGTTCACTGATGAACATATTGAACCTTCAACACCATTAGGATCACCCAATTCTCCCATGAATGGTGTCTCCAATGACAAACAATTCTCAACAACAGGTACGCGCTCCATAATATAATATCATAAACTATTACACAATGATCGATTAATGATAACCAGGAAGTTGAATGCGATTAGGAGAACTTGGAAGAAAATAAATTATCTACACACAAAATAATTAAAATATCATCCATAATTATCTGTGAGATAACTAAGGAGAGAAATGGTTATGTTATTCAATTAAAATATCTATTTATTTTTAATTTCTTTAAAATGATATAAACACCCTTCCGTTGATAAAGAAACGTGGATGAAACCATACAAATTGGTGAAATGTGATTGGCCCAATAACGTTAACAAAGTTAATACCAACGACTTGGTTAACAAAATAAGATCCATCTCTCTCTCTCTCTCTCTCTATATATATATATATATATGTATAGATATAAGGTATATTTCAAATATAACCATATTCATTTGTACAACCAATACATCTACACAATATTAATATTAATTATAAATCACCATGCGTTAAAAGTTTTGAAACAAAACATGAATTTCAGGAAATTGACATAAATAGTCGTTTTGACTGAGTGAGCTCATCTCTTAATCATTCCTCTCCCACGATTTCCAGTAAATCACCATCTCTAAAGGTGGCAGTTCAGCAACTTACGGTAAGTGGGGACGATGACTCTTACCACGGTTAGCACTTACCAGGTACATTGTTGTATCCAATGTCGTTTTGATGGAATAAAAATCTTACCGAATAAAAAAATGATAATGTTGAATTTTACCGGTAAACGTTAATCAGATAATTGTTTTATAAACATAACCTAATGAACATTTATTAATTCCAAATTATCACTCAATTTATTTGATCCAATTCATTTTGGCGTGCATGGGTCAATAAAAAAAAGACGGCGTTAGAGAGAGAAGCCGTTTACTTTAAACCATGCCCGATGACGTAAGCAGAATATGACCCACCAAAAAGCCAGCTGTATTTTCTTTTTTCCCCCTTCTCTAAAAAGTTAGGTATTGGGTTCTTCTTCAAAAAGCTTTCCATCTAATCGAATCGACCTTAAAGCCCAAGCACTCTCAATCGTCTCTCTCTGCTCAAAAACTCAAATCATGGCGGTATGTTTCAATCTCTCAATCTTTCTGTTTGCTATAACCTTAATCTGTATCTGAATGTATTACACGCATCTATTACTCATAGACTTTGGTTATCGTAAGTTCTTTAGATTCGTTCATTTTGATTTTATCGACTCATTTTGCTTTAATGTTTATGTGTAATATGTAGAACGATGTTTTTGCTGATTGATTGTGTGTTACTCGTATTCGGGTGATTTCAATGCGTTTGGTCGATGTCTCGATGAGCAAGTGAAATCGATTACGAGTGTAGGATATTGGATGTATCAACTTTGAATAGGTTTCATTGCTGTTTTTTTTTTCTTTTTTAGTTGATGAAAATCATCTCTGGACTGTGGTGCTCACTCCGAGCAGCAGACACTTTGACTTTGATGATCGAAGTTTTACATTTGATGTGTATTTCGTGAAAAAATGTTTTAGTTGGACCAAAGTTTATGACTAGTATCATTAATGCAAAGGCTTTGGTGTCAGTTTTGTAAAATATGTTCCCAAATTTGAATTTGGTTAGCTTTTGATTTGACATCATTTGTTGGTTAAGTGCTGATCCTGTCCATCAATCCTCCATCTGTTTGCGTCTGTAATTCTTGTGAAGCATGCTCTTCTTTGATAGGCTATGATTGTATGACTCCTTTTGGAGCTTTGCAAAGAGCATAACATATAGGAAGAAGCTTTTGCCTGATAAGAAACTTCTAAAATCATCAAGGTGGATTTGTTATCTGCTGGGATATATAAATACTATCAGTTACTCCTCAAGAAGGAAAGAAAAGCTTCTTATAATCTCCCTTGGAGAGAAACTAATGACCAGGCTAATAAGATTGTCTTACTGTTTTGTAGAAGGGATATATGTTTCACAGAACAGCTATATTTTATTCTTACCCCATGCTAATGGATAATATTATATGCTTTTTCTAAAAAAATAGAGAGACTACTCAAGGATATTGGATCATTTGTCGACATGATATTTTCACCTCTTATTATGTATGGACAACAATCATGGCTTTATGATAATTTTCTGTTATATTGGTGAAAGCTTGGTTCAATCAATAGCTAGAGTTGTCCTACATTTGCTAAATAATCTCTATTTGTTTTGGTGGGGAGGGAACATAGTTTTGGAAGTATTAACAAGAAGGGACCAAGAATGCAATTTATAGAAGCAGCCTCTCCCCACCACCAACCCACAAGCAGAACCCCCACAGACAAAAGAAAGGAAGGATTGAAATTATAAGAGATGTCATGTCGTATTCTTGTAGTTGCATGTGATGGTCACCAGCATGGACCATGCTCTGTCATCATCTCAATCATCTCAACAACATAAGGTGGTGAGTTAAGGAAAACTCCTATTGTTTGCTGGCATGGAATCACTAAGAATCTAGTGAGGGTGGGGTCAATTGACCGCACTTCCATTAATAATACCTGGCGTGCATGATGTAATACTACAATGCTTTTATTTTATATGCAACCTTAAGGTTGGGTTCTTTCATCTTGTGATGATGAACTCAACACTTGTGTCCAAAAAGATAAATCCCTTGATATCAAAAAACTAATATCACAAAAGCATGTCTTACTATTGATTCCACCTGTTACTCATGACTCTAGCATATGTTGCCCATAATTCTAACTTCTACATTAAATTACATATTTTACTTTTACAGGCTGTAATTACCTTTCATCTGTTCTTTTTTAACATTCCTTTATCAAAGCAAAGTTGTTTTTTACTTTGTTGGTGAGCTAATCCTCAAGTTGGTTAACTTTGAGCCACTTAAGCTGACTGTTGCAATCCCTGCTGCTCTATGATTTTGTGCCTTCCGAAATTCAGCACCAAAGACCTTCATATTTAGCTATTGCACATGTAGGCTTGTTGGTGCAAAAAAACGTGTTGCTTTTATTGGTTCCATTTGTGTTTGTACTGATATGTGCACTTGGGATTGTCACACACTTGCAGTGAAATGGAACAATCATCCTTCGAATTTGAGAGTTACCCATAATTAAGTTATACCAACTTCTATGACTTCTCACCATATTAGCAGTATCAATAAATTGATTTAGATGCCCTAATGATATGGCCACCTTTGTATCTGCATGATGGAATACCAGATGCATAACTTGTCCTATCTTTGTCATCAAGTGATCAATCAAATTCAACCCCATCTTACTGTCAAATGGGGAGGAAGATGGGACATATAACTCTACCAACATTGTTAGAACCAAACTTTATTATTGTTTAATGATGTTCTGTAAGAAATTTGCAGAATGATCACCATCCTCAGAGTAAGATTAGCACCCTCTATGTGATGTGGGATGAAGGCTAATTTACATTTTACACCCAGGATTGCCTAATTTTAGATGAAAATACAGCAAATTCTGTTACCTTATGAACGTCATTTTTTGCAGGGAAAATGAGGGAAGAGGGGATGGATTGTATGAATGATTTAGCTGGTATTTATAGGCTTGTGTTGACAGGTTTTGGCGGTTAGGAAACTGCCCTTTGACATTATCCAGGAAATAACGAAAACAGAAAAACGGAATAAATAAAAAAAACCTAATCTGGATTAGGAAACAGTCAAACCCAACTTCCAAGTGCTATCTTTTGACCCTAAATATTCGGTATGTATAGTCCAAACCAACTTGCAATGTAAGCCCACTCTCCATAACTCAATTGTAACTCATTTAATTAAACAAAAAGATTTGGGTTTATAAAGTGAGTAACATCTATTTCCCTTCCTATGTGGGACAAAGTTCCCACATTGAAGACTATCTTCAACATGTTTTGCATGAGTTAATACAAATGAGTTCTTGTGCTTACAATACATGATAATCAGAAGCCAGGCAGATATAATTTTGTGTGCTTGCTCCATATATTTTTAATCCAGTTTAGTTGTTTATATCATGTCAGGTTTGATTAATTGTTGCTGTAGACCGTTCAACTTGTAGATTGCTATAGAAATTAGAACAAGATAAACTAAGAAGGGAGACATGATGTCTTCCTCCAAACCATAAGAAGTTGATTACCCCAACGTCCCAACCATGGAATTATCGACCTTGGGGCAAGAACAAAAACTATGAATAAGTAGAACATGGATTTCATTTGATATTTTGATATATCGATGGTGGGACAAGCGGAGGGTTAGGGAGCTTGCACATAGGTTAGAAGAGGCATACAATAAATAGAGGGATATGTGCTTTTCCATGCCTTTGACATGTTTCAATGTACCTCCTTCTTACTCCTCCTTCATTTTTTATTGCTTATTATTTACTAGTCTTTATTCTTTGTCCTCCTTAACCTTTGGCTCACACTTTTCAACAAGTCAGGCGTCTTTACACAAACAGTCCTTTTGAATAGAGGACAGGTTTGAGTACAACCTACCCTTCCCAGACCATACTTTCGAGTGGGATATACTAGGCCCGTTTGCTTTGATTTAGTTATTTTGTTTTATCATCATCAGTTCTTATAATACTTACATATTGAAGCACAACCCCTAAACTGTAATGATTTTCAAATATTAGGATGAGTGTCCTACATGTTTTTAGCCGCCTCCAACTAGTTTGGGACATAAGGCCAAACGGGATATACTGGGTTTGCAAGTGGTTTGTATTGTAATTACATCGATGGTGATTAAAGGTTCAACGTTTACAGGAAAAAGGTCCACCATTGCCAAAGTTTGGTGACTGGGATGTAAACGACCCTGCATCAGCTGAGGGTTTCACAGTTATATTCAACAAGGCTAGGAACGAGAAAAAGACAGGTGGAACATCAGACTCACCGCCTAAAAACGACTCCACGTATAATAAGCCTGGGACGGCTACTCTCGGGAAACCTCAATCCGTAAGCTGTTATGCATTTTGTTTACTGGCTTAGTTAGAATACAAACTCAAATCACCAGTAGTTATAGGTTCAAAGCTTGCTACTAAAACTGTATTTCAAGGCCAGGTTCAAAATGAGAACCGTAAATATTCTGAAATCCTCAAAACCCATTATTCATAATGAAAATACACGATACTTACATGATATTCATCATGAATAATATATGAAATAGTTGGTTTTAGGTTCTCAAAATACTTATTGTTCTTATTTGAACTTCCGCCCGTGTTTCAAAATAAGAATACAAACTTGTTCTTTCATTTCTCAGCGGTTTCAATTTCGATATTTTACCAACACATTTAGCCATGGATTTGTGTATTTATTCTCAAAGATTTGTACAACTTGATGATATGGCAAAACTTTGTTTTGCAGAAAAAATGGTTCTGCTGCATGGCATAAAAGTGATGAGAGACTACTTGTATCTTATTGCTTGTCCAAACTCCAAGCAGGATTATCCTGTTGGAGTTCATTCTGCTTTGATTTTTATGATGATGATAATGTAACCTTGAACAAACAGCTATATGAACTGATTGCCTTTGCTTCCTCTTTCCTTCTTAAAAAGAGATTTTTTTATTTAAATTTTCTTAGAGTTTGGATGCACATTTTACGCTTAAAGGGTGTCACTTACCTTATTGGGTAAGAATGACAAAGACCGAGAATCTTACCGTGTTAGCTTTTATCGGGTAAAAGATGCTTACCAACAATCTATTTCAATTGCCGAAAATGTTATCTTATAAGGTGAGTGAAGGCAGTGGCTTTTGCCGTTAAGTGCTTATGTGGTAAGTTTTTAGTAAACAATTCCTTGTTCTCTATTATGTTGCTTTTTTAACACAAAAGAAACTCGTCCCTGTCTAACTTTAAAGTCAAAAAATGACTCGTTTGATCGAGTTAGGGGTTGTCTGTTTACCTCTTAATAGTTCCATTAAGAGGTAACATTTGAATCGTTAAGAGGTGAATCTTGTTTGGCAAAATAAATATCTGCTTCTTAATGGTTTTAAAACCCTCTGAATGATTTTGTATCATGAGTCTTCTCCCTTGACCATTACGCGTCCTAATCTCATTTTAAACAATTATCAAACAATTATATTTTATTTTGTACTGTATCATGAAAGATTTTTAATCATTCTGTACCAAATCATTTAGCAACTATCAAACAACCTCTTAGGTTCATTTATGTGGTTGGAAATTGTTTAGAATTAACTAGAGGTCAAAAGTTAGAATATTATTTGCTTGTTACCAATGTTATTGATTGGCTTTGATCTAGCGATTGCTAATGGCTTTACTCAAACGAGTTGGGGTTTATATGACTTGTTTGCTCCGGTTGTACATTTTCTTAGCGAGGTAGGCGGATAAAGGAATTGTGTAAAAATTTAAGGTTTTGATTTGACAAAGGTAGATTAGTTTTGATTTTTGTTCTACCCTTTTTGTGGTTTTGTCTCATTCAGTCTTATCTTTTCTTAGTATAATGTAGCATCAAACATAAGACAACAAGTTTTTGTTTTAATGTTGTCCTATGTACCAAATGCATTCTTACAATGTCCAACGTGTAATGGATGGGACCAAAGGACCTTTGGCCTAGTGGTATGTGAGTCCTTGACATCCTAAGAGGTCAAGGGTTCAAACCTCACAAAAGTGAGATGGGTGTGTGAGTTTATTTGTTTTATTTGTTGTATATAAATATTATATACTTCAAAAAACGTGTAACTATATTTGCTAATGAGGTGTTTGAACAAAATTTTATATACCCTTTAGGTGAAAGATAGATCTACGCACATCTTACCCCCGTATCCTACCTTGAGTCGATACATGTGGGGTCTACATCAAGAACACTTTTCCATCAAGCTCAACTTACAACCCTGTCAACCCCTACATTTCGATATCGAGCAAGAGGGGAAACATTTCATACTGTGTTGGGGAACTTTATGAATATGTCGATTTGCACGTATCACAAGCAAACAACTCACATGACCGAAAAACAAAACTCATTCTTGACATCCAGTTCCCCGCCATACAACTCAATAAATTACGTAAAAATGCAAGAAGAAAAAAAAGACCTACTCCTTCTGTCCCAAAATAAATGTCCATATGTTCTAGTTAAAGTTTGTTCTAAAATAAATGTTCATTTTCATAAAAAGGGTAGTTATAATTTACTAAATTTCCAACTCTACCCTTAAAAAATGTCTCAAACATCAAGGGTAAAATTGTCATCCAATCAATTAAAAAGTGTAATAATTACTGATCTCTTAAACTGTGTGTTTTTATTAAAGACATTTATTTTGGACTGGAGAAGTATATGCTCATACAAAGCCGTAAAGTGGAATACCGTTACTTGTGAAATAACGGCATGTAACCATCTTAAACTCTTGAAGTCCCGAGCTTGCGCTCAAACAGACGTTGAAGAAGATAAACCTGAAGAATGCTAGCACCGACCAGCGCCGCGGATTCAATTATCGCCTTGTGAAGTGCTCTTTGACTCATTCCTTCGTTTACTGCATTCGAATCGAATAACAACTACAAATCAACAAGTTTCCGTAACAGGTTTGACTTTTAAGGTCAAACAGACTATGACTCAAAGCTTCGTAATTGATACAAATTCTATGAAATCCTCGTGAAAGTTCTTATCGTTAGATCGTGTTTATAAACGGTACTTCCGTGATAGAGTTCGGATCGATTGAATGCTTGACGACCAACAGATTTTGACTTTAAAAAAGTCAAAATAAAAAATACAGTTTGACTCTTGGAGTCAAATAATCCATTATGCTAAACTTCATAATTGATATAAATTATACTTATCCTCATGGAAATTCTTATCACTAGATCATGTTTATTAATGGTGCGTTTTGGTATGCAGACAGGACTCGACTCGAGTGACATAGGCAGGTTAAAAAATGCGGTAAGGTTTTAGGGTTTTAATTATTATTATTTTGATTAACCTGGATATCCAACCCGCTATGCAAGCCGACTAATCCCAAAAGTCACCGCATTTGAACCTCCAGGGCCACAAGGGGATTTTTATTCCTCCTTGGATTTGAACCTGGACCTCATGGTACTTTTGACCTTTGGAGCCAAGCTCAAACCAATCAGGCACCACCCTTGTAGTTAGGGTTTTAATTTGACATGTATAGTTTAGTAATTCACCAATATTGTTTCATCTCTCCCATGCATTTTTGTCCCACTCAGTATTGTCATGTCCCTATCTGATTTAAACAAGTTTTTGTTCTGTCAAGCTCAGTTTACCAAACGCACCCAGATATAACATGATAATGTCAAATTCATACCAATTATATGCTTGAGAACCAACAGATTTTGACTTCAAAAGTCAAACAAAAGGAGAAAAAAAATACAATTTTGACTCCTGGAGTCAAATAAGCCATGTTCAAGACTCCATTTTGTTGATACAAATGGATTCAATCATCAAGAAATCTTTTATCATCATACCACCTTTAAAATCTTTCATAGAACTTGAATTTAGTAACGTTAAATTCACGACCGAATTTGTATGAATTAAAAGCTAGAAACGTAACGAACTTTGAACCTTGAAAGTCAAACAGAAGGAAGCATCGTACCTACTGCCTGCCGGTCGGTTTCCGCTTCTAACCAATGCTGCTCGAACTGAATGTTGTAGAGAGCTTCCTCTAATTTCGATATTTGTTCAAACAACGGATTGAAATGCTCTGCGCCAATTTTTCAATACAACACTTAAACGATAAACCAGATCAAATCAAACAAACCTAGTATATTCCACCTAAATGTGGGGTCATGCCCGGCAAGGGGGGATGCAGTATTCAAATGGTGGGGGGAGGGGCCCCCATTAATTTTCCCCCCTTAAAAACAATTTTCTTTAAAGTAATTTCCCACTTTTGCCCCCACCAATCAAAAAAATACCTTGAAATCAACCAAAAAAACCGAAAAAATCCTTCAAAATCAACAAAAACACTAAAAAATACCTCGAAATCAACCAAAAAACTTTTAAATCCCTCGAAAAGGTGGAATTAGGCTAAAAACATGTCGGGTGACTTTACAGGCTTTTAGTCTACCTTAAAGGTGTCCCCACTAGCCAAAAACCCTAGATCCACCACTGGTGTCCGGGAGGGGGGGGGGGGTTTATGCAGGCAGACCTGACCTCCACCCCCGAACAATAAAATGGTTGTTTCTATGAATACCTCCGGTTTGTGCAAAAAGAAGCGGCAAAAGAACATAAGAAATCATTCAAAAAAGAACTTGATAACAAGAAAAGCAGTGTTGCAAAATGAGTATACCGAATGAGTAACGAAGTCGTGCTTACCGTCCTTGGCATGTTGATCGAAGTACACGAAATGCGCGACTTGAACATCGAAGTCTATGGTTTCATGATACGGAGATCTGTTTGTAAAGCAAAACCGGTATATGCCTTTCTTTTGAGCCATAAACTCGTATTTCTCACTAGTTTTCTCATGAAGTTCGTGTATGAGTTCATCTCCCGGGCCTCTTATCTGGTATTTTTAAAGTTCAAGTCGTTAGATGACTATAAGACGTTGGATTAATACATCATACTACCTCCGTCCTAAAATAAATCAGCCTTTTACGTAGTTTGTGCGTCTAAAATTTTAACAGATGTTGCTAAACAAACCCCCTGGAGTCGAATCAATATATAGAAAATGTAATGAAAAAAGACGCTTAATTTGTGTACGATGGTTTACAACCGGTAACCCCTAACACGGTCCAAACCTCCACATCCCAAACGCAGGCAAACCAGGTACACAACGGCTCACTTTGGTACTTGGCTTAACAGCTAGTACCCACAAGGAGCTCAATCCCAAAGGAATTGACGACTCTCATATTTGCGGTTTTAGACTCGAACCCTCATTTGTTTGTGCAAATATATCATCCCGGAACCAACTGTGTTACGCCATATATGTCAAGATTACGGATATGTCGTTTGAACAGGAACACTATATATATGGGGTTGGATTCCGGTGAGAAGGGAAGTTATAGTGAGAAGCGTAAGAAAAGATTTTCTTCACCTTGAACCAATCCTAATTGAATGTCAACACTAATGAGATGCACCCAGATGCACCAGATCAATTCTCTTCTAAAGCACAACTCATGGGTGAGCATGAGACTAAAAGTGATCAAAGGTGCAGTTCTTTTTTTTCGCTTCTCACCATAAGTATCCTTCGCCTATACACACATATATATATGTATATATACATGTGTGTGTAGACTGTAAAGTAAGGTTCGGGGGAAAACCCGAATAAAATGAAAGACAGAGAATGGTGTATACCGTAAAAACTACTTATAAATTACTTATATGCACATGTATATAGAGAGAGACATATGTTCCTCCCTGTTTCGTTTACATATAGACTTGGAATCCCGTGAGACCAACCTGTTTTTGTGAGACCCGTGAAACCACTTTTTTACACTTGAAATTTCACGGCAAAACACTGTGAAGGTATCCTTTACACTAAGGTTCGGCTTTTTTTACCTTCACAGTGTTTTGCTGTGAAGTTTCAAGTGTAAAAGTGGTCACAAAAGTCTCACGAACGAAAACATACCGGTCACGTGAACCCAACACTATATAGATGAAGGATCGTATGAGAATAGGAGCTTCTTCTCGGACAAAATCTCAGATATGCAACACGGTTATCAAGCAAATTGTGAACACATAATCAAAACCACAATTGGAAAAAAAAACATATAGAGAGAAAACATGAATCAAAGGAAAGATACGATGATGTCAATAACATTAATAGTCGAAGAGACGAGGATTAAGAAAATTACCACAAGATCAACACCGTCTTGTGTAAAATGCCACACCGTTTCTGCCTTAATAACAACGAACGACACATGAACTGTGTCGCCTTCGTATTCAACGTTGTGCGACAGACACTCTTCTCTGTCGATCACAAACCTAATTCCGACAACCTCGCTAAACAACATCGACAAAACAACAGCAATCATTAACATTAATCTCTCGAATCTCAACCTCCCAACCGCCATCCGCATTAATGATTTATGACGACAAACAACAATAATGATTCCGAAGGAAGAAATCAATGGATTGGACTATAAAAAGGAAGAATCATGAAGAACAGAGAGATCTAGTTTAGGATTAGCTTCGGCTTCAAGGAAAGACGATACAACTTGGGAGAACTCGAACTTGCCGTTTGAAGTTATGTTTGCTCCGTGTGCATAGGAAATCAGTTTATCAAAAGAAACCCTGTACTTAAAAGGTTTTGAAGTTTTGGACCCTATAGTTTGGAATAATTACATTTCAGGTCCCTTTTAATATTTTTATCTCCAATACCTTATAAACCAGACTTGTTGCCTAGCAAAGTAGACAGGATAAGAGTCTTAATCGGAGGAGCAAAATACGACACTTCAAGATAATATCCTCAAACTCATAAACATCGTTCCCTGAAACATGGATAACATCAACTACTTGTATGACATCTGATTCAAAGATTACCTTGCAAAACCCAAGTTCGATCACCCTCAACAAGTGCAAGAGCCTTAAATTAACTGTAAGAATACAATTCATTTTGTAAGATTTCTGTTCACATATACAGGTGAAAACAAGTAAACGTTTTTTGATATTAAAGGAACGTGAACCAAAAACAAACCAAATTTATCATTTACTTCAAAGCCACGAGGTTATCGAGGACATGTTTGAAGAGGAGGTCGGTGGCCTCTAAGTTTACTAGTGGGGACTAATCACAGTAAAAGAGTCCGGTCTATGAAATAGAGCTTGGTCTACTGCAGTTGTTTTCGTAAAAACATTTTCTTCTGTTATAACTTCATTTTTTTTAATGGATTGACATAAAAAAAATACGTTAAATATTGCTAAATGCACACCTAATTATTAATTTTCTCAGATATATCAACGGACAACGGTAAAACATACCTTTTATATTTTGATCTGATTTTGATAAAATCAAACATGTAAGAAAGATATTTTGGGGTTTGTTTTCAAAATAATTATTATAATTTCAAGATTAAAAGATCATATAATCAATATTTACTGAAGTTGGAAATAATTATAAATTAACCTAAAAAATCAAAATTGTAGCAATAAGTTGTAATTATTTTATCTCTAAAATTAAAGGGTTGTTTGTTTACCTCTAAATAGATCCATTAAGAGACAACCACTGAATCGTTATAAGGTGAATCCTGTTTGACAAAAAAAAAATGTCTCTTAATGATGCCAAAACCTCTGAATGATTTTGTATTCAGAGTCTCTCCTAGTCATTCAACACCCTAATTTCATTATAAACAATTATATTTTATTTTGCATTAGATCATAAGAGTCTCTTAATCATTCTGACCACTTAATCATTCTGCACCAAACCATTCATCAACTAACAAACAACCCCTAAAAAAATATAAGAAATATGGTTGTATCAAAAACACTAGAAAACTTATTTCTAAAATTTGCAATGTGCACTTCCAAAACACCCCTAAATTGGTTTGATGAGTGAATAGAATTTGGAAATGGCAATGGAATCATCAACTGCCTCTACTTTGATCCCTGTTTAACACATTCTTCAGCTCTTGTAAGGGCATCAGTCAGCACATCGATCGACCAATCCTTCACATCCTCCTGCAAATTACATGCTCAAAACTTATTATTCGGCATCATAATTGTGAACCAGAAGTCGAACAATATCAGGTAGGTACAGGTCTATGCAGGATATTTGATCAAAAAGGTTGATTATGGTAGCAAGATCGACCAACCCCACATGGAACCCACCCCCTAGGAACCACAGGTGAGACGGAATTTCAGAGCTGACTCAGCATCCGAGGCTAGCGGACGGGTTCAAGCCTGTCTCCTGTAGGATTAAAACTTGAACCTGTTGTGCGTTTGAGCAAAGTTCCCCCGTCCCTTTACCAACTGAGCTATATACCCGAGGGGACAGGGCAGGTCTATGTGGTATATACCAAGTTCGTTAGAGAATTATTGCTAATTGTCTATGATCAATGTAGATTATGTCATGGATGTTTCACACAAACGCTGGAAGCTGATTCAGAGGCAAAAACGAACTCGGTATATCACACGTAGAGGTAGGGTCTAGGGTAGGATATAATCATATAAGCAGACCTTGCCTCTACCCTAGGGGAAAATAGACCGTTTCCTTGAAGACTCCAGACTCACTAATTGAGTTTTGTAAAGAAGAGGATATGGGTCCCACTTTATTAAGTGGAAGCATTTATTTCTATCAGGAGATATAATCAAAGAACGAACTTCTAAGAAATCACAAATGCATATTTCTTAATCTGTGGGTTGGTAACTGCTACTGATCAAGAAACATGATTTTATATATATATATAGAGAGAGAGAGAGAGTCAGGTTCGTACAAGAACGGTAACCAAATAAGAGACTAAGAGAACGGTTGAATCACATGTGACTCACGCGACTTTGGCTGCGACCTGAGGTGAGGTCGCAGGCCACGTCGCCCTTGCGTTGACCGTTAGTATAAAACCACATCTGATTTTGCATGTGATTTTTCCGTTTTCGTGTTCCTTTATTTGGTTATTGTTCTCGTTTGAGCATCCCTCTCTATATATACACACACAGACGTGTGTGTGTGACTCAGACATAAGTCATATGTTTTGAGCTTGAGATATTTGTAATTTACAATGGAAGTAAGGATTAGTACTTAGATCATTGTTCCTTCTACCTTTTGCTGACATTCTTGCACAAAAAGAGGGGGAGGGGGGGTTCACAGAAACGGTCACTCTACTCTTTGGGGGCAGAGGGCAGATTTCTGTACATCCCACCCACCCCCCAAAAAGAGACTACTTTCGATTGGGATATACTTGGTCAGTTTGGTTCGGTTTGTTAGATGGATGATGAGGATTAAGGAAGGCATCCTAAGCAAAAAGGCAGAAAGCATTGCATGTGAAGGTAATAACAAGAATACAGACATTTGAAGCACTTAGGATTTACTTCATCAAGAAAACAAATAAGAAACCAAAGGGTCATTGGCCAAATGGCACCCGGGAAACCAATAGAGCTCAACCTCCTAGGAAGTCAAAGGTTCAAACTTCACCAGAGTGAATGGTGTGTCTGAGTATTTGCCATATATAATATTATATTAAGAAAAACGAAAAAAAAAAATATGGTGAGACAAATCACATGGCAAAGAAATGTTAGTGATAAAGGTTTCAAGGATCACCATGTGTAGTGGCTCCCCGGTTCTTATCCGTGCATTAGGACGAGCAAGCTTAGACTCAAACGGAGTCCTTGGCCGCACTTCTCGAAATTCTTCCCACTCTTCTCGAGAAAGCATCCTAACAGTGCCTTGACCAGGAGGGGCATTCTTTATCTTCTTCTCTATTCTTTCTTGTGATGTTGAATCATCATACTGCAAGTATGGCATATCAATCAAATAAATTTATCATTCTACTAAATCTTGATGCTCATTAAAACAGATAAAAAACACAATGCAAATTTTCTTCTCAAAACCAACATTTGATGCTATAATTTTAGTAATGAAACTATAAGATATGTCATAGCATACCAGACCCGTACCATCCCCAAGGGTTAGGCCCACTTTTTACAGGTCAGTGGAATATTTATGCTCAAAATCCCGATTCAAGTAATCATTTATTTGGTACCTCCCAAAGAGCAGGAACTGCCATTTGACATTTTATAGACCTTGGGTGAGATGAAAAAAAGGGCCCACCATAAGTATGAATTGTTATTCAATATATTGCTTTTATCATTAGAAATAACATTGGATTCAAGAAATACTAATAATTCATATAATTATTTCTAATAATTTATCATTAGAAATAACAATAGGAATACTCAGAAAAAGGAGTCCTCCATGGCTGTTTTCCGAGTATTCCTGACGCGAAATCAATCAATAATTATTACTAAATTAATATTATCTACAATATCATTTTTACATAGCTTCGTCACCCCTTCCAACGTCAAACACATCATATGATATACACTTTAATTTATAGATTGATATCATTTGGGGTCACAATGTTTACTACTTGACTATGCGGAGTGATACTCTATGTAAATCAATATAAATCAATTGGATTTCCATGTTGCCTCATGTTAATGTTTTACATCACTATTTTGAACTTCGAGGGTTAAAACACACTTCCTCGGAAACATCAAACTTAGAACCAAGAACCCATGTTGGTTATAGCATGAGATCTCATTCTTGTTTTAGAGATAGAAGAGTACTTGAGATTCATGCACTCAATATTGGGTAGGAGTCAATAGTGTATGAAAAAATAAAGATAGTTTTGAAATCCTAAATAAGGATATAAGTTGAATCGTCTCATATGGTTGGTACTTTTTTTTCAAAAAGTAGGGGTGCGTTTGGTTTGCGGGATTGGAATGGATTTGGGGGGATTTGGATTTCAAATCCATTCCAATCCTATGTTTGGTTTGCCAAATTGAAGGGATTTGGAATCCAGGGATTTGATTAAAATCCAGTGTATGCAGGATTTGGAAATCCTTCGCAAAGGGGCGGGATTTCAAATCCAATCCTTTCCTTCCATCGCTTCCTGTCGATTATTGCGTCTCCCTTCCTTCCTCCCGCTTCCTTCACCCATATTCCCTCCCATCGCTTCCCTTCCATCGCCGGTGCTCCCTTCCCGTCCCTTGCGAAGCTGTGCCCTAAGGTCGTCTCGCCGGTGCTCCCTTCCCGTCCCTTGCGAAGCTGTGCCCTAAGGTCGTCTCGCCGGTGCTTCCTTCACCTCCTTGCGAAGCTGTGCCCTAAGGTCGTCTCGCCGGTGCTCCCTTCCCGTCCCTTGCGAAGCTGTGCCCTAAGGTCGTCTCGCCGGTGCTCCCTTCCTTTTCCCCTCGCGAAGCTGCGCCCTGAACCGCCTTGAGTCAAAACGCCTTTCCTGTTCGCCGCCTTCTCGCATCACTCTCAGCAGGTAAATCATATAACACCTCTTGTAGATGCTTAAATCTGAATAGGTATGAACAGAGTAGTCCTCCTTGTTTGATGAAAACTTTTCTCAAGTATATAGTTTTTGTTTAAGTGTGCTCTGTACATATGATGGTTTCATCGTCATTGCTATATGCTTGCTTAAACTGATTCTTCAGATGCATGATCATAGGAATTTTGCTATTTCTAGTCAACTTCTATATGCAGTATTATGATTCTTCAAGATATATAGTTGAAGTTCATGGTATACACTATGGTCATATTATGTCCAAATCCTGCAAACCAAACACAGGAATGGATTTTAAATCCAATCCAATCCAAATCCCATGGAATCCAAATCCCTCCTGGGAATCCAAATCCCTCATAAACATTCCTGCAAACCAAACGCACCCTAGGAGTTTTCTTAGGTAATAACAAGAAATCTATTATATTCCAATACAAAATAGAATTCATGCAGATAAAATAATCAAAAGAATCAGTGAAAAATGAATGATGGAGAATATATCAAGGTTTTCTAGGCAAGTAGTTTCAGACTTTGGTATCAGATAAAAAACTTAGAGAAACAATAAGCAATACTATAAAATGACCGACCAATTAACTTTACATATTTTACTCTCCAATGTATTTAACTAATAGATGTTTGGGCCTTTAATATAATACTAAATTCTTTTTTGGTCCTGTTAGACACCAACAAAATGTCTCTTATTTACTAATATTTTTGAACTACTACTATATGTTAAAAAAATTGGGCCCTTATTTCGTGTGGGCCTGGACGTGCGCCCGACCTGCCCTCCTCCAGGGACGGCCCTAAGCATAGCCGATAAAGAGGGCTCTTGCTCACCATCAACAATTTTCAAGGGAAGGACTTACTAAAATGATCATTATGCTTGAGCATCCACTTAACATGATGAACATGCTGGATTTAGAAGTTTTTGTGAGCAAGATTAACTCATTATTCAAGCATGTCTCTCAACCAGCTATTAGAAGTGATATTATGGAAAATATATGAGTGAGAAGACCAAGACGAAGAACATTATGAATAGCAATCAAGATGGAATTGCAGTGACAACTGAACTCTTTGGAAGGCTAGCACCAGGTAACCCTACCATCTCAGAGCTCAGTTCTAAGATCGACATATTTTAATGACAACAAATTGTTAATAGTGTTTCGATTATCATGTTGCACCATTATTCTAAATTGAAACCATGATCAATCATCCATAAAAACTATTGTATCTTTACGCATTAAACTATACTCCCAATTTTCATACACCAGAATTGAAGGGATCTTGGGGGTTAAAGGAGGGGCGTAGGTTAGTGAGTCGGCAACTAGACACCCTGAATCCTAGGTTCAAGTAGGGGTGTGTAATCCTTCCTTGGGTACGTTTTCGTGTACTTGCTTCGGTTGGTATGTTTTCTTTGTTTGTCTGTGTATATTTGGTTGCTTATGTCTAACTCTTCTTTCAAATCTCAGCACTATCTTTCTTGTTTTCAAGTTCTTCCTTTTCAAATGTTCTTTCTTCACAATCTTTTTCCACACTATCCAGAAGTTGGGATTCTTCAAGGAAACAATTGCTCTACCCATTGGCATGGAGGTCCCGTCTGTGTACATCTCCCCCACTGCCCAAAAGAACCCACCATCGGATGGGATATACTAGGCCTGTCTGGTTTTATTCGGTCTTGTTAGGTTTTTTGTCAATGTTAAAACACTCATTAACACAAACAAATTATTCAAGTTAAAAGTAATCATACCATCATGAGAAGCTTGGCAAAAAGTGCAATCCCTGCCACAGTTGCAAACATCGGCATGCTAGCGGTGTCAAGCCATGACGTCGATTCAGGAGTTTCCACAAACAACCGGTCCCTCTTAGGGTTCCTCCTCCTCCGATCCTTCTCTAATTCAGCAATCTTTTTCTTGAAGGTGTCACTAGGACTGGTTTTTGTTAACGTATGCAACTGTCTACAGAAGTGGAACACGGACTGCTTTGATCCTTCCATGGCATCCAGAAAAGGGTTTCCACAACAAACCTCTGTATGGAAGAACAAAGAGCCTATTTAGGGGTGTTTGGGATTGCTTATTTAAAACAACTTATGTTTTTTTTTGTAAAAATGCTTATTAACTTATATGGTGTTAAACCGGAGTTTTTAAAGTATTTAGATTAGTTTATAGCCGTAAAAAAAAAAAAGCAATATGCTGATAAGTTTTTTTTCCCGGTGTTTGACAAATTTTGTTTATACATATAGAAATGATCAAAAAAGACATTATTCCACAACTAAGAGATCAAAACCATTGAATCTCTAAAAAAACATAAAAACTCTAATTAATCACATTAACATCTGAACTACCACATACCCAATTGCATGAAAACAATTTAGTACAAATTTGAATCAAAAGTTCACAAAAATTTGAATCAAAAAAAGCTATCAATGAGCTATTATCCATCAGAGTCCTAATCTCTCACCGAAGAGGTCGATCTTCGAGTTCTGTAGGATGAAACAGGTTCGATTACTGGTATGATGAACACCGACATTTATCACAGAGGAAGACGATTCGCAGCGAGATATCAACCGATTTGAGAAATCACAGTGATGAGATTGCTTACCTGAAAAAGAGGTCGATCTTCGATTTCTGTAGGATGAAACAGGTTCGATTTCTGGTACTTATCGGTCGCTTGAGGAAGGAGACGTAAGGGGGGAAGAGAGGTCGAGCATATCTGTTGAGAGGGAAGGAGCTGTACGGTGAGTAAAAGGTAGAGGGTTAAAAAGGTAATTTGATTCTCACACTTAATAAGTTGAATTTGATAATTTGAGGGTAATGATTTATCAAAAACTACTTATTATCGGTTTATCGGTTAAGTAATTTTTTTTTATCTAAACACTAAAAACTGTTTATTATCGGTTTCACACCGGAATAAGTCAATAAGGAACTTTCATACGCAATCACAAACACCTAGTTGAATGAATTTAAAGGTTTGGTAAATTAATGAAGTGGTTTTCATAAAATAATATTTCAATATTGATTGGCCCTCGGGTGTGCAGCTTAGTTGGTAAAAGGATTAAGCGACTTTGCTCAAATACACAACAGGTTCAAGTTTGAATTATGCGAAAAGCAGGCTTAAACTCCTCCGCTAGCCTCAGCCGTTGAATCAGCTCTGAAATGTCTCCTCACTTCCTAAAGAGCGGGTTCCATGTAGGGCCGTTGAATCAGCTCTGAAATGTTAGCTCTTTTCACTTTTTAACGGCAGATGAGTGGGGGACGGAGGTCTAACTTTTGAGGGTGGTCGGAGGACAGCCAACGGGTGAGGATCGCCGCCGAAGTACTGGGAACGGCTCACCTGTGCCAGAGGGGAGGGGTTGCAGTGACGGGACGAGGATGTGTCAGTGAACAGAGGCTTTTTTTTCTTTCGGCATTTCAAAGGGAACGTATAAAATTTTATTGTAAAACAAATTATGAAAAAAAAAAAAACCTAGATTTATTTAAGGGCAAATTGCATAAAAAGTAATGTAATTTAACTTGATTCCTATTTTGAGTACCGTATTTTCAAAACTTTTATTTTGATACATAAGATGTAAAGCATTAAACATTCAAGTATCCAGGTTACCGGTTAAAGCATTAACCGGTTACCATGCTGATATAGGGAGTGATGTGATATCCAACTCGATAATAATAGATTATATTACCTGATAAATTAATCAGGTTTGAGTCTAACTAGTCGCAATTTTTAAAGGTTTGGGCAATTGTAGATGCATAATTAGAAGGATAAAATGTTGCTCTCCTCCGATTATCGGCCCATTTAACGATAATGATCGAGTTCCAAGTACATAATGGCAACGTAAAACCCGACACAAGTTGTCAAAAATCATTTTGTTGATCGTAAGAACGAATTAATAAACATCTAACATAAATAAGATAGTCCCATACAGAAAAATTACACATCCACAAGGCCATCCCATTAAGTCATTCTATTTCATTCAAGCTAGAAAAACAGCATGGCACATGATTCCATTCAGCTCCACTGCTTGCCTACCTGCCATAAGGGTGATAACGACCACCGCCACCACCGCCGTAACCCGCCCTGCTTCCATACGGTCCACCTGCTCCACCATAACCTGAACCTGCACCAGATTCATAACCACCACCACCTCCTCCTCCTGGACCGCCATAACTCCCATACCCTGCACCTCCACGCCCATATCCACCAAGCCCACTCCCGCCATACCCTCCTCCTCCTCCTCCTCCTCCACCGAACCCTCCACCAAAAGAGCTAAAGCGACTAGAGTATCCGCCAACTGGAGGCTCACCACCCCTGTAACCACCGTAATCACCTCCAAAGTCGCCATAACGACTGCTAAATTCACTGCCACTGGGTCCATATCCACCATAGTCGCCAAATCTACTGGAAAGTCCTCCAAGTGACCTATAAGGAGGGCCATAACCACCCCCACCACCACCCCCACCGCCATAGCTACCATAAGAATCACCATAGCCACCATAACTATCACCATACCCACGTCCCCTAGGTTCACCACCGTATGATGGAGGTGCTGCATTTGATGATTTCTTGGGCTCTGCCTTCTTGATCTCAACCTACACCAATGAAGCATGTTATCTTTTTCTCATCTGAAAACATTTACCCCAAGAATCCAAAAATAGGTACCTCTTCCGTCCCAAAATAAGTGTCCACATTTCTATTTTAGTTTATCCCAAAGATAAGCGTCTATTTTTAACAGTAAGTGTCTACACTCCAATTCTACCCTTAATTATGAGATGAAAAAAATTTATTAATTCCTCTATTATTAAGGATAGAACCGTCATTTAGTTTATTAAAAAATGTAATAGCTAGACATTCCTAAAACTGTGTTCTTTTTCATAGCGGACATTTATTTTGGGACAGAGGGAGTACTAACTAGCTGCAGTGGTTAAAGAAACAGAAATGTATAAATCAAGCAAATATGTATTCATGATCATCCTTGGTTGCCATAACAAACGAACGACAATGTGTCCAAAACCGCATGCAAGAAAATGTCATAAGCTAGGAGAAAACCAAAGATAGAACTCACCTGTGTACCATTCATATCGATCATATTTCCATTGACAAGGATAGTATCAACGACTTGTTCACTATCAAATACGATAAATCCAAAGCCTCGAGAACGCTTTGTTGCATGATCTCGGATTATCTCGTGCTCAACGACTTTCCCGTGCTTTGAGAAGAAACCTTTGAACTCATCTACACATATACATACACGATGAAATGAATAACTAAATAAATCAAACTGTGCAATTCATCAACCAATGGAAGGTACTTATATTTAGCAAGAACTTTTAGATATTTAAAATTTCAAATGCTAACCTTCGGTAACTGATGTCGGAATCCCACCAACAAAGATTTTTTTTGTTTTGAAATCTTTGGATTCAGCAGAACCTTTGGGAATGGTTCTCTTGATCTCAACCTGCCCAACGTTTATTCCAATATAATCAGTTGCAAGATTGTTAACATACGAACTAAAACTAGAATCAATAATCTAATACAGTGTTCTACAATATGTTAAGAGGAGCTAATCGCCCAAGAGAGGATAAAGCACACTGATGATTTTGATATATTTACTTCTCTATATTACTAGTTTCATTGTTCCTTTGAATGGAAAGTTATTGAAAAATCTCATTCAAATTGAGAAAAGTTGATTGATAATCTCAAGTAGAGAGAACGTCAACTAAATGACTGGTTAATTTTTTAGTTAATACAACGATTAGTTACTAATGAAGCAAATGGGAAGCTCCCAAGCAACCGATTAAGTAGCCCCAGCTAATCAAAGCACTTCTGGATAAAATGTATCAATATGCATAACGCCAGATGTTCTTGTGGAGTAGACATATTGAGAGAGATCTACGAATTTTCGGTTACCGGATAGAGTTTGTTAGATAAAAATCATCAGTACCGAACACTGAAGAGTAAACATTAAGTGTATTTTTTCCTTTTTGATAAGCTGACCAGAACCGGACAGAACAAAAAATTGTTGTCCCAACTCCCATGTTCGGGCGAGACAATAATGCACTTTTTTGTCCCAGAAAAATAGGTGAAACAAAAATTAGGAAGGTGAAACAATATTGGTAAATTACTAAACTATCACTGTCAAATTTAAAACCTAAAACCTTCCACAATTCTTTCACATGCCTACCTCACTCGCCCATCCAGTTTAGTCCCATCCACGTACCAAACACACCCAACACTATGATATATCATGTTTTATTTATCTTGGAGTGAACATAAATAGTGACATACATCCATCAGATTATTCAATACAACTCAAATAAAAAATAGTGTGGACCATAGATCAACAAAAAGATATAATTGCACCGATGGTTCATCTAAAAAGGCTCATGATATTATTGTTCTTATGATTAATTAGTATCCATAGTTCCATTTACATATCACCTAGATAAAACACAAATGTTGTCAAAAACACAAAGTAAAATATTAATCATCTGCTTCTAACATTCTGTTGATAACAAGGTTAGAAGAAGAAGAAGAAAAAAAGGACGAACAAATCATGTAGAATTCCCATGAAATTCTTTGATTTCTTCCGGAAGCAAATGATGAAGCATCTGCTAAAGTTCCGTGAATAACAGGGACATCGAGGTATATCCAGAAAGGCACTTTGGACAACATACATAAGAGTTCAGAATAAAACCAACATCTATGGTTGATCTAAAATGGCTGGATAGTCCTTCAGTGCTCTTAAAAACTTATTCTTCTATCCTAAAATTCATATTGAAATTTAAAAGAATGTCACCTTTCATATTCCCAGATTTTTTCACCATTGCTTTACAACAAACAAATCTCCGAAACCACCAACTTAACCTCAAATTTAAAAGAATGTCTAGTCTCACATAACATCTATTCAGTTTTTAGATATCAAAGTCCCAATTGCATTCAACTTTGCTGAAGAACGTGTTAAAAAATGAGACTGAAATTAAAATTCATAAATCTGCACTCAGATTTCTCATTCATAAACTGAAATTCACTCACTTGTTTGCCGTTAATGACATGCGTCTCGGCAATAACAGTATCAACAACAGAAGGATCTGCGTATGTGATGAACCCGAAACCCCTCGGCCGACCAGTTTGTCGATCCTTCATGATAACCGAATCGGTAAGCTCTCCATACTTTCCAAAGTATTTAACGAATGTATCTATACAAACATAAGCATATCCCATCAGATACCAACAATGCCATTCAGCTAACTTACAGAAACACAAGCAACAACAGATAGCGGCTAACCTATGGTAGTATCTTTCGCTAAACCACCGATAAAAATCTTCCTGTAGCAATTCAATGAACAAGATTCAAGTTTCTAACGATAACTATGTGAAAATTAGAAAAGATAGAAGTAAATCATGAGCAGTTTTAGAGAAGTGACGAACCCGGGACTAGCGCCGTCTCCAAAATCAGGTCTTTTGGAACCCATTGGAGATGATTTCTTGAACCGAAGTTGATTGTTTGGCAATTTGAGGGATCGAATCTAGGGTTTAGAAGAAAGAGACGAGTGTTGTGCTAGGGTTAGGGCTTTACAAACAAGATACGGATTTTTGAGGATGCAGAAAAGTAATAAAATATACACGGGATTTGGTGACCGGAAATTATAAATGAAACAAATTATTTAAATTAAAAACTTATAATTCTTATTAGAACATTATTCTAATATTAAAATATTTCTTTTGTTTTTCTAATTAATCAGGATATCCAGCCCCCGTTATTGAGTCGACTAATTTCAGAACGAATATCTGCTTTGCAGGTAGTCCGAAGTCATCGCATTTGAACCTCTGTAATCACAAGAGCATTTTTATTCATCTTTGAATTCAAACATGAGATCTCTAGACAATTTTGTCATTTAAAGGTCAAGCTTAAACCAACCGGGTACCACCCTTGTTTAACGTTAAGATTTTTTATAGGCCGAAATATATTAAAAAGCATCCCTTTTCATAGTAATCATTTTTGGAGAGTCGTTTACCAAACACTTACTCGGTAAGCGCTTACCGGTAAATCTAACACTATCATTACTTACCGAATAAGATTTTAGTTCACAAAAACGGTATCGTATGAAACAATTACACAGTAAGTGCTTACCATGGTAAGAGTCGTCGCCTTCACTTACCGGCTAAGACTCTTGGTCTTTGTCTCGCTCGTACCGGGTAAGATTTTTTATCCTTACCATATTCATCCGGTGAGGTAAAATGACTTGGTGCTCACTTACCCGAGTAAACGTTTGGTAAACGGTCCCTAAATTTGAAGAGTTTTTGGAGAATCTATTGAAGCAAAAACCTGTTCAAAATCCTCAAAATCTTTATTTGAATAATTTGTTTCATTTACTATTTAATAATTAGTTTTAATAGAGCATCTCGAACATATTCTATAAAAAAAGGAATTAAAAGTCAAAATCTTCAAATAAAAATTATATGCATCTCCAACAGCTTCTTCATTTCGAATATTACAATATTAATTATATTATTAAAATATTTAATATATTAATAAAAATATTATCTCTCTCTTATATATTTAATTTCAATGATTTTCATCGGTAGAAAAAATAAAAAATATATTTTTATTCATATGTAATTATTTTGGGAGAATTCTCCAAATTTTAAGAAATTTAATACATCTCCAGTAGATTCTTCAAAATAGAGATTTTGAGGATTTTCTTTCATCATAATCTCCAAAATGGGAAAAATATGATGAAATTCTTCAAATTTGGAGATTTTTTTAAAAATTATTATCTTATGAAAGATATTTTATTCTTTTACCAGTGATTTTTTTGGAATTAAACATATACGAGACATAAATTTCCTGAAATATATTGAATATTTGAATAATATAAATAACATTGTAATATCCAAAATGGATAAGTTGTTGAAGATGAACCTAATTTTTTTTTGGGTATTTTGACTTTTAGGGGCCGTTTACCTAAATGCTTACCCGGTAAGTGCTTAACATTATGAGTCAACACTATAATTTATTTTATTGGGTAAGATAGTAGTACATCAAAAAATATCATATACAACAACTTACCTGGTAAGCGCTTACCGGGGTAAGAGTCGTCATTCTCACTTGCTGGGTAAGACTCTTAATCCTTATCATCGCTCTTACCGGGGATAAAATTCTTGGTCCTTGTCATGTTCATATGGTGAGGAAAATTACCCGGTAAATACTTACCAGGTAAGCGTTTAGTAAACGGCCCTTTAGTTCTCTATTTTGAAGAATTTGTTGAAGATGCCCTTACCAGAGCGATTATCTAATTCACTCTCAGTAATCAGATTTACTAAAGTAGAAGGCACAGACGTCCAGTTCAACATTAAAATAACAATTTTCAAGGGTTTTTGACTTAGCAGTATGTGAGTGTTTGGCCTCGTAGGAGGTCAATGATTCAAACTTCACCAAATGTGAGGAGGGTGTGTGAGTTTATTTGTTCTAATTACCGTATATAAATATTATATATTTCCAAACAGAACATTTTTTTAACAAATCATAGGGACAAAAAATATGTTTATCACTTTATTTTATATAATTTAATCTGGAAATTAAAAATACATACATATGTATACAGTGATAAATTATAAGTTTGAATTTGAATAAACTTTAATAACACGTTCTAGATGGTATGTTACGACATAGTCCAAACAGTGCAGCTCTTAATTATCTTGTAACTTAGTGTCTAATTTTAAGAATTCATACAATTGAACTGATAAATTATAAGCTTGAATTTGAATAAATTTTATGTTCTATACTTACCCGATAAGCGCTCATCCGTAGGAGTCAACACTATAATCTATTTTACCAGATAAGATTGTAGTATATTAAAACGGTATCGTATGCAAAAATTTCCCTGGTAAACGCTTACCCGAGTAAGAGTCCTCACCATCACTTACCGGGTAAGACTCTATCTCTATCATCGCTCTTAACGGGTAAGATTTTCACCCCTTGCCATGTGCATCAGGTGAGGAAAGTTATCCGATCCAGGCTTACCAGATAAGTATTCAGTAAACGACCCCTTGGTATATAATTTTAAACTTCGTACAACTGAATTGATCAATGACTCATCTATCAATATCTCAATAGTAGTTATTCACTTTACAATACTTAACCTAGAAGGATCATACATGGGTGGGTACGAGTCAACCCCTTCGACCCTAAAACAATCCCCCTCTTTAAGTTTTAACCAGTTAAAACAATCCCCCTCGTTTCCCGTTTGGGATGTCAGAAAGGGGACATAGATGAGTAATCGAGGATTGAGGTCTTCGCACCATTAGTAGTTGTGGAGTTATATATAACTTTTTTATAGATGATGATTTTTGATACTTAATTTTAGAAAAAAAATATAGTATAACCGTTAAATAGAAGTAATTTTTTCACACACTTTGTCGATTAAAAGTCATGGGGGAAAATTGACATTTCATAATAGTTGAAGGACTATATATAAAATTTACTTCATAGTCAAAGTCGAACCAAGGTGGAAAAACATACGGCAAGACCACGGCATAAAATCAAATAATTAAATAAATATAGTTGTGTTGTGGATTTTGAAATATTCAATTTAGTCCCCAATCTTTTGAATATTCTATTTTTGACCCGTGTTAAAAATATATTGACATGGCTGTTTCTTGTTCTAGTTTCATCAACCAAGAAAAAATGTCACGCGTCAGTCACCACATGATAGCGACGTAACATTACTTGTTAAATTAGTTGATCAAAACATATCGAGGAGTTAACCAAAGTATCAGGGATCAAACTGGCGCTAGGTTTGATCTCGATCAAGGACACTCCGCATGTTTAGACCATACCTGTATCTCAAACTAAGGTGTTATTATATTGATCAAACCATTCACCAACCCAACCCAACCCGGTTAAGGGTTTGGTTAAAATGTTGAAAATTGGGCTGAAATGTAATTCACATAGATTTCACTAATCTATGTTTGAACCAAATATTTTCAAACATGCCTATTGAAACTCAAATAAGGATATATATATATATATA